AGTACAGACTCCTTTTTAAAAAAATTGTACTGCAAATTGACAAATTATGGCTATATATAACAGACTCCTTTTTTTTTTTTTTTTTTGGTAAGATCTTCTGAACCAACTGGATGTGGCAGTCAAAGCAAAGGCTAAAAAAGTGTTGCCTTTGACCACAGAGCGGCTGTCAGCCTCTTCTGCCCGGGCTAGGGCTGCAGGGCCCGGGGAGGACAAGCCACCGCCCCCAAGGCAGATGTTCCGTCCCCCTCCACCTTCTCAGGGCTCTAGATCATGGTGGGTTGTGCCAGGCAGGGGCAGCCCCTGGCCTCAGAACTCCATGTCTTTATGATCCATCTTGAAGGATCCATTCTCCTCTGCCAGAAAAACCAGTCTTCCGGGGCTCATTGCACCAATACATAAACGCATCTTTAATGACTCTCTGGTAAACAGCACAGTCCAAAATAACTCAGGATTCTGGTAACAGAAGCGACATCTAGTTCAAGTGTTTTTGTTGGGGTGGGGTGGGGGGACTCACAGACCTTTCCTTCTTTTTTTTTCTTTTTTTTTTGGAGACAGTCTCACCCTGTCATCTTGGTTAGAGTGCAGTGGCATCATCATAGCTCACAGCAACGTCAGACTCCTGGGTTCAAATGATCCTCCTGCCTCAGCCTCCCGGGTAGCTGGGACTACAGGTGTGCACCATCACACCTGGCTGATTTTTTTTCATTATTATTTAATTTTTTGTAGAGACAAGTCTCACAATGTTGCCCAAGCTGGTCTCAAACTCCTGGCCTCAAGTGATCCCCCCACCTTGGCCTCCGAAAGTGCTGAGATTACAGACGTGAGCCACGGCACCCAGGTCCCACATTCCTTTTTAAATAATGTAAAACTTAGGAAAAAAAGCCTAACTCTCTCTGTGAAACAGTGACCTCTTTCACCTACTAAGAGTTTAAAAAGCTGTGGCTTCAACTGCACCACAACAGCCTTCTGATGACAAAGGTTCTGTTTCCAAAGCCATCAGCGGAGGAGCTGAAACCACGTATCCTCACAGAGTGCAACAGGGCGGCCCCTTTGAAGACTATTAGTTTCCCGTGACCATAAAATTCTCATCTGCTGCGGTAGATGTTTCCTCAACGCAACCCACGAGTTACTTGTAGAAAAGCCGTCTGCAGGATGTGTTCATGAAGTTTTCAACTCGGAGATCAAATGTTTCAAGCTTAGTTTGTGAAATCTTCCTGTCCTCACTCCTTATTCAGTCCAGACTTTCAGACCACATTCCCCATTTCAGCCTATGTTAGGATGCTGTTGACTCTCCGTGGGAAATGACTTCAGGTAACAAGTTTCAAAGGACAGGACCTGGGCAAATGCCAACAATGTGACTGGGATGAGTGACTACGACCAGGGAGAAAGTGTACTGGCCTTAAATGCCATATAACTTACTCAAAAATGGCTTTGCCTTAGCAGAAAAGTTTGTGTCTGTGTATGTATGATTTGTATATATGTAGAGTTCCTGGTTGAACTCACTCTGAACCCATGACTTAAATAGACTTCTACTGCTCTGCTAGATTCACCAGGCACATCTCACTGGCACGTCTTAAAAGAAGCGCTTGATGTTCGTCATCTTTAAAATCTACGTTTAGCTGAACTGTAGCTCTGTTTTTCCTTACCAAATTTGCCTGCTCACAGAAGGCCAAGGTCAAAAAACTAAACTCCACAAAATGCAAATGCAACATCTGTTGAAAAGATTCAAAGGAGTTTAAATTCGAATGAGCCTAAAAGTTAGAGTATTTAGCACTCTGACAGCCAGCCTGTGGAGGACCTAAGGGTCGTTCAGGACTGCATTCTGACAGAGTCCTCTCCTCCGAGCCCCATCAACTACAGGGAGTCCAGAGAGGAACCTGAAGACACACCAAGCGGGTCACATAGTGGAATGTGCCTATTATGTAGTCTGGAAGAGAAACCCGGCTCAGCCACTCCCGGCAGGCACCTGCCCCCTTACCTACAAGAAGGCCAGGACCACTCTGTAGGAGGGGAAGGCCCGTCATTGGGGTGAGCCCAGATTGTCAGCTGCTCCCACCCCCTTGCCCTCTACTTCACTAGCACATCCCCCATCGTGGGAGCTCATCGGACCCCTGTGTCTTGGGGATTGGCTGGGCAAAGGCTGGATTGCAAACAGCTCACTGTCAGTTGCGTGTTAAGTTCTCTTAACCTACAAACCCGTGTCCCATTGTGCAAACCAAAAATGCACATTTGATTCAGTGACGTGATGCCGCAAAAAAGCAAAACGTTGGGCTATTCCTTACACTCCTGACAAACGGCATATGGCACCGATCATGCTACTCCAAGTGACTCCCAAGCCACAGTGCTCCAAAGAAACATACAGCTGAATCAGGGAATGAAAAATCTTAGCCTACTAAAATATACAAAAACCGTTGTGCTAGAAAGCTGAAATATGGAACACCGTGAAATTGCGTATGAAGAGTCCAACACTAACGCTCCAAAACTGAACTGAGCAGGAAGGGACTGCTTGGCTGTGAGCGGACACTTGTGGACAGGCTCAAGAGCCACACTGTTCCCAGGAAGCCCTCGTGCTGGGTCAGGGCAGGCGGAAGGTTGCTGCAGGTGAGGGATGGTCAGGATGGAAAGCCACCTGCCCACCTGACAGGGGAAATCCCACTGTCGAGGTTCATGGGTGACAACTGCCCCGCTCCCAGTTGCTGCAGGGAAGCAGCCGAGCTGCGGCCCTGCTGCCTGGGGTCAGACTCCCAGGGTTCCCAGAGCTCAGTGGGCTACCAGAGTCCAGTGCCCACTCCTTGGCACAGGATCCTGGCCTCCCTAGTTAGGTCTTAGAAGTGGCCGGCCACCTTGCTTCAGGAACCTGGAGGTTTTTTGCTTTTAGTTTTTGTTTTTGAGACAGGGTCTTGCTATATTACCCAGGCTGGTCTTGAACTCCTGACTTGAGTGATCCTCCCACCGCAGCCTCCTGAGTAGCTGGGATTACAGGTGCATGCTACTATGCCTGGCTGTAACAAGGGAGGTTTTCAGGGAGAAATTTTGTTCTGTACAAACTGCCACATTTCCAGCCACTGCTTCTAAAAGTCTTTAGATAGGGACATACACATTTCCTCATCCAACATTCCCTCATCCAGTGATCCACGGACACGCTTGCTTGCAAGGAAGAAACTGCATTCTCTCTCTGGTGGAGGACAGGGTCATTAAATCGGCTGGGAAGAACTTAGTTTTTAATCACTAGAACTAGGTAAGATTTTAAAGTTAATACATCTTTAAGCAGGATGGCCCCCACTTACTCTAACTGAGGCAAATATTGCTGCAAAAAACACCAGCTACACTGTGGGGAATCTTGTTTTTGGTGTCTGTGTGTGTTTATTCCTTTTAGGAAACACACTCTTAAAATACTTCCTGACTCTGGTCAGTATTGCCCCTTCCTTTGAAATAACTTTTCGAAAACAAATAAAACCTGATTTAACTTCCTTTACATTTCAAGACAAAATGTTTGCTATTAGTATACAATGAGAAGTCGGCACTTCACAAAATAAAATTGACATTTAAAAAATCACCAGTGCCAGTACCCTCAAAAGCCTATAAGCATCTGTGAAAGACTGTGCTGTTTAAAATATTTTACCAAATTCTGAACTTTTGAAGAGCTATTCTGCAACATAGGAGAGAGCAAAGCTAGGTTTGCTTTTCTAACAGCTGTGTTTCATGCTCATTATATTATTAAATAGGTCATTTCAAAATTAATCATTTGAACTCCAAAATATAGTTTTGAAAATCAATAATGGTTTCTATGGGTGTAGAAAATCTGTTGTACATGACCCTTAAAAATCTACTTCTTATCTGTTTTATTCTAGATTTAATAGGTTACCATTGTAAAGGATACTAGATAAGAAGATAGCTATTTGATCATGAATTACATTGGGCTCCTAATTTCATCCTAGTTTAATTTTAAATAATCCAAAACAACCCAAAATATTGTATTATTGCCATACAAACAAGTAATTTCGAACTGTGTTATAGCCTATATATAATACATTATCAATATCTACAAACTTAACCATAAGAAAAATACAAAACGTGTTTATCTAGGTGTTGTTATTATGCAGTAAAGCACTTTTAAGAAATGGCATACCAGACCCAAGAACACCTGGACAACACATGAAAAGGCTTGATTGCTTTTGTATTTAGTAACAGAGAAACAGTGTCATTCTAATAATTGATTATTTTTATTGTTATACAGTTTTTATAAGCATGTGGGAGTTCAGTATTCATTATTTAATCAATGTGACCATTTTTAAAAATCTGCTTAACTCCAACTATAAATTATAACTCATTAACTCCTAACGGATTTCCGTCAATAAATTATTTTTAAAAATTTCCCATGATCAGTTAACTTTCGGAAACACTACCATAATCAAAGGGATGTCCCCAAACCAAAGTTCAAACTAAATATTTTTAAAGTGTAAGACACCACATTCTAAGGCACAAAAATACCTGGCAGTTTTGTAGTGTGAAGCTAATTCAGATGGGTGCTATATTTCAGTTGCACTGATTTGTTATTATTTCTTAGGTGCAAGAGGGCAGCAGGTGGATTCCCCTCCCCGTATAATAATTGTACTTTGGTGTCTTAATGTTTATTCTGAACAAGATTACTGAGAGTAATGGCAACGGTTTTACCTTTACCCAAAGGAGGTTTATTTAAAGTTTCAAAATTCGAAGTTTAACTGCTTTATTAATTATAATTTTCAGCATATAGTGTTTTTTAAAAAATACTACTTCTCTAGAGCAGGGGTTGGCAAACTTTCTATGAAGGGCCAGACGGTAAATATTGTATACTTTGCCATATGGTCTCTGCTGCATCTGCTCAACTCTGTGTTGTAGCACGAAAGCTGCAGAGAATACACGAATGAATGAGTGTGGCGGCACTCCGGTAAAACTTATTTATGAACATCGAAATTTGAATTTCATATCATTCTCATGTGTCACAAAATAGTATTCTTCTTTTCAAATTTTTTCAACTATTTAAAAATGTAAAAGCCATTCTTAGGTCACAGGCCCTACAGGAACAGGCTGTGGGCCAAATTTGGCCCATGGGCTATCGTAGGCCCATCACTGTTCTACAGGGAAACAGTGAAACTGTCCCTCCTCAGAGACTACTATCCCAAAAGTAACTGATTAGCCATGAGCTGGGAAATAGGAAGACTTTATTTAGAAAGGTGAATTACTAAGGTGTGACCAAAGGGTGAAGGAATAACGCGGCCACCCGGGATGGCTACCTGCCGGCTCATGCACAGCCACACCCTCTTGGTGTCCACAGCCAGCGGCAGCGAGCAAAGAAGGCGATCCAGACCCTGCGCCACAGTCCTGCCAGGGCAGGGTGCCCATCTGGGTCTGAGCAGCATTGACTTGCTGGGCACATTTCAGCATCCATCAAGTCACCACTGCCGGCTGTGGCAGAGCGGAACAGAAAGCCACCGTTCCATCCCCCCACCCCTGCTCTGGGAGTCCAGCGACTAGGAGCCCAGCTTCTCTGGCCGCCAGTGGCCCAGCATGAGTCTACAGCTGCTGTGTGATCCGTCTACACAAAGGGGGCTGGGCCCTGTGCAGCTCACAGTCAGGGCCTACCAGATCATTCTGGCATTTCAATTCACCAAACATCTTATTTTGGCCGGAGACAGAACGCTTTTTAGAGACCATTTTAGCGGACCCTTCCACAGCAGAGAGGAGGAAGTGAAGAAGAGAACTTTGCAAATACTGCTGTTTAACGACTGTTAAAGTTCACAGCGTCATCAGGTGCCACAGACCACCCGACTACCTAGGCCTCCCCGAAACGCACGGGAGCTGGAATACAAAGTACAATGTAAAAGAGTGTGCAAGTGGCCTTTAGTTTTTTAAAGGACATTTGTACACAACCGCACAAGTAAATAACATTAAGTCTGGGCGAACATTTCCCAGATTCCAGCAAAAAGAAAAGGACCTGGCCCAGCCCCCACGCGGTTTTCTCTGAGAAATAGGCCGGGGCGCAGAGGTGCCACGCGGGCGCCCACAGTGGGGCGTCTTCCCTTGGCGCACGGTGTCAGGACGCTTGTCCTTTCCCCAGGGGTCTCCAGCAAGCTGCAAGGGCTAAAATACGACATGTAGAGTTAAAAACATATCCCAGGGTCTTAGAACCACGCTCAAGAGTCCGGAGTCGTTTTCTTGGCTGAAGTTACTGCTGGGCCAAGGGGATTTCTTCCCATCCTGACGCACGCTGGGCATCCTGGAGGCCATCTGGGAAGGTACAGTGGTAAGAGACGTTTGGACCTTTGCTTGGGCTCACTAAGCTCGCTCAGGGGTCGGCCTGCGCGGCGAGTTTACGGTTTGGCGGCTCCCTCCGTTCCCTCCTCGCTCCCCTCACGCCAGATCCGCGATACTCAGCGAAGCAAGTCCCTGGGGAGGGGCTGCCCCACCGCCAGAGCGCTCGGGGCTCAGGGCGCATCAGCCGGGCGCGTATACCGCAGCGTGTAGTTGGCCCCCGCGTTGTTGTCCCAGTACTCGCCCTGCGCGCAGCGGTAGCAGATGGCGAAGTGGACGGCGACGCCGCGCGCGTCCGCTTCCTCCCCGTCCTCAGGCGGCAGGCCCGGGGGCAGGCACAGGGAGAAGTGGAAGCGCTCGGCGCCCGGCTCTTTCTCAGCATCCTCGGACTCTGGTCCGGAGACCCCCGACGGCGCCGGTGGCTGCTGAGGCTCCAGCGGCTCGGACTGCAGCTCGGCTGGCACGTCCAGGAAGGAGCGCCACTCGGTAAAGGTGTAGCGCACGGTCACGGCCCTGGGCCCGGGGCAGCCGAGCACCCGGCCAGAGCCCTTCACCTCCGCGCCCCAGGGCACCGAGCACTGCACGCGCTCCAGGCACACGCGCTGCCGCCGCAGGCGCTCGGCCGCGGCGCTCGGCCCCGGGAGCTGGAAGAGCGGCCGGAGCCCGGGAGGCGGCGCCGAGAGGGGCGCGGCCGCAGTCGCCGGGGCCAGCAGGCCCCCCAGCTGCTCCAAGTCCTCGGCCCGCATGGGGAAGCTGCGGAGGCGCGAGAGCACGGCGGGCGGCACCTGCGGTTCTTCGGCCTCGCTGAAGTGCTTCACGCTGGCCAGGCTCAGCCCCAGCGTGTCCGCGAACTGCACCCGCTTTTTGCATTTGGCGCAGCAGCCTCCGGGGCTGTGCGGCGCGTCCTCGGCCCCCTCTGCGTGCTCGCCGCCTAACCCCAGGGCCTGCTGCTGCAGAAACTTGGCCGCCTGCAGGATGGGGTCGGCCGGCAGGGAAAAGGAGCGCGCGCGGCGGCCACAGCGGCGGCACTCCAGCAGCAGATCCTGCTCCTGGGGGGCAGTCTCTTCCTTCCGGGAGAGGGGCCTGTCCCCTAGCTGAGCGTCAGAGCGCCGGGCCTCCGTTGTGCCACCGCCTCCCTCGCCACCCTCCAAGCAGAGGACCTCCGTAGCGGGCAGTTCCTCGGCCGGCGGGGACTCTGCGAAGGGCGCTGATTCCGGCGCCTCCAAACTTAGCAGCTGCGCCCCGGAGGGCTCCATGACGCTGTCCTATCCTAGGACTTGTCTGGGCCGCGAACCCGGACTCAAGAGTCCTCCGGACACTTAACTCCTCCTGCCTTTGACGGAGCGCACCGCTGCAGCTCCGGCTCTCCCGCCCCGCGGCGAGTCGGCCTGGGCTCGGGAAGAGAGCGCAGTTCCACTTTGCAGCCGTGCGGGCTTTTAGCTGCCGCTGCCCGGGAGGAGTGGGAGGAGGATGCGGGCCTGGGGCCGGCTCCCAGGCGACGCCGCCTTGGGGTTGAACATGCCCGCCACGGGGGAGGGCCGGGGGCGGAGAGGCGCGGACGCCGGAACACCTGGAAGCGAGTTCCCGAGTGCTCGGGTAGAAAGTGGGAGACGACTTTCCGTAGGTCGCAGGTTCCCTCTTACCCCCCGCCCCGCCCGCGCCTCGGCGGGGCTCGCGTCTGCCCCGCGTCTGGGGTCGAGAGCGCGCGCTCAGCTGTCTGAGACCCCAGCGTGGACACCGTCTTCCTGCCCATGAAGTTGGCCTGACGAGCCCGCCCACCGGAGGGTCACCGGGCGGTCTGCTTTCGGCTGTCGCCTCGGCCTGGGGAGTCCCCGGGGCAGCGCGCAATTGAGGAAAACTTGCCTACCAGGAGGCTGGAAGGAGGCCTGTCCCGCGAGGCCCGAGAGCCTGGAGCGCATCCCTTCCCTTCTGCTCCTGCCTTCCCCAGACTGCAGGGCGCCCCGGCTCCAGTCCCGCTCGGAAGCCTGACTCGGTCAGGCGCGCTCCCTTCGGCGCCTCCGAAAGCCCTGCGGCCGGAGCTGCCGCCCCCATCTGCCCTGCGGCGGCGCGGGGCGGGCGGGGGCCCGGACGGGGGCGGGGTCGGTGCGGGGACCCGCCGGGGAGCGGACAAGGCCGCCGGCCAAGAGCTGCCGGAGGCCATTCGCGCCAGGCCGCAGAGCACGTCCCCGCTCCGCCCCCTGTCCCGCCCGCCGCGCCCGCGGGTCTGCGCCCAGGGCCCCGCAGAGAGGGAGGCTGGCACCTACCCGGTGCCATCGACGCCAGCGCGCCCTCCTCGCCCGCCCGCTGGCGTGGGGGCCTGACCCCGGCCGGGGCCGCCCTGGGTACCCCATCGGTGCTGAGGGCTCCCCTTGGGCGACATTATTTGCAGAACAACCCTGTGAAGCAGGAATCGTGTTATCCCTGCCCTAACCCATGGGACGCAAATGTGCAGAAAGATTTATCATGGGCCAAGGCCCCACAGCTAGGTTGTGGTGGGACTTGAACCCAGGCAGCTTAGAGGGAACGTTTCCTGTCACTACTAAGCCTGGGCTGGGGGCGATGTCATGAGGAGGGGGCCCTGCTGGTCCCAGTGCTGGAATCCGGCAGGTGGTTTTATGCCCGGTATGGAAACCTGTGACTGCCTCTCAACTCGGGCATGGCACCAGTGAGAGGCCCCACATACACCTGGAGTGGCCTCCTGGAGCAACTCCAGGATTTGGAAATACGACATAGTTTTTACACTTAAATGACCATTGATGAATCGTGGAGTTAAATACAAAATTCGCAAGCTATTTTAAAGATAAAAATAGGACTTTAAAGATTTTGAGGTTGTGGTGCCCCTTTGGGCGACAACCTTCATCCAGGGCAGGGACTAGAGGGAGGTGAGGGAGGTGCCAGGCCACAGAACTTGAGGAGGCATCACGCTCAGGGTCACGCAAGTGCCTGGCCCAGCCCTGGCCCACCCTCCTCTCTTCGGTGGAAATGTCGGAGCACCCTCACCCAGTATGCTGGAGGGAGCAACTCTGATGCCAACTCAGCTCCTCTGGCAGAAGAGAAGGCGCAATCTGACCTGGGTAGGAGGCCAGGGCCGCCTGTGCGGAAGTTGAAAGGAGTTAACAGGTAGGACAGTGGGGAGGAACATGCCAGGCCACACACAGGCTCTGTGAGGGAGGGAAGTGGAGGGGATGGACTGAAAGAAGGCCAACATGGCCCTAGGGCGCTGGCAGAGCTAAGGATGGAGGGCGTGAGGAGAGGCCAGCCACTTAGCCTGGAGCAGTGAGAAGTCGTTGGAGGGTTTTGAATCGTGGATGTGACCGAGTGGCTTTAAATTTTGAAAAGATCGTTCTGGATACAGGATGAAGATCAGATTGCTGGGGGCAGAGGCAGTGTGGATGGACCCCGATCGTAGGCTGTTGAAATGGTTGTAGTGAAGGGTGATCATGCCTAGGTTGAGAGACAATGGTGGCAGGGTGGACGGATGGATCTAAGAGCTATTTAGGAGTGAAAACCAATGTGGCACACTTAGGGACCCGATGGGGTAGGCGGGGCGAAGGGAAGTGCCTCTTGGGATTTGAACTGGAGCTGCTGGGTAGAGGCAGTAGAAGTCCCTGGGGCAGGGACCACGAGAAGAGGACCAGAGGAAGGGCAAGACCCTGAATTACGTGTTGGGAGGTTGAGCTTAGGTTCTCAGGTTCTTTCTGACACCACGTGGTGTCTTGTATAACACCAGTTCTCTCTTTCTCCGGTGGGGTGTCCAACAATTCAATTCTGACTCTCTCTACCTGGAGTTAGTGTCAAAATCCACAAACTGAAGGCTCAGTCCCACAAGACTTCCCCCACTTCAGATGCCAGCTGCAAATGGGGTGCCGAGGGTACCCACATTTCTGCCCTACCAACTAAAAATGCAGGGTTCCTGAACCACTCCCGCCCAGGTTCAACAACGACTCACAGAATTCAGGAAAACATTTTACTTGAGTTTACCAGCGTATTATAAAGAGTAAAACTCAGGAACAGCCAAACGTAAGAGACATAGGCGAAGCATGGGAATGGGTGTGGAGCTTGCAGGGCCTCTCCAGGTGCACAACCCTTCAGGCGCCTCCATGCGGTCCCCAGCCCTGAAGCTCCACCAGCCTTGTTCAAGACCTCAGGAGCTCAATCTCCACCGCCCCTTGTCTAGAGGTGAGTGGGTGGGCCCAAAATTCCCAGTCCTCTAATCACTTGGTCTGTCTGCTAACCAGCCCATCCTGAGGCTATCTAGGGAGCTCACCCTCCCACCTCATTAACATAAACTCAGGTATGATCAAAGGGGGCTTTTTATATTAATAAATAACAAAAGATTTTTGTTATAACAAAATAACAGTAGCAACATAAGTAATAACAAATTTCTTCTCAGAAAATTCCAAGAGTTTTAGGATCTCTATTCCAGGAACTGGGGACAAAGACCGAATGTATATTTTTATTATTCCACGGTAAGTCTAGAGCTGAGAAGAGGAGAGGGCCCAGGACTGAGCTTTGAGCAACTCTGACATCCGTGGTCAGGAGCACCTGCAAAGGAGACAGAGCATGAGCAGCCGGAAGGGTTGGAGGGGACGGGAGAGCGTTGTTCCTCAGAAGTCCGGGAAGAACTTCAGAAGCAGAAATGGTAAGCACCCCACTTGGGGCCCACGGGGACTTTGCCTCCTGAAAGGTGCAGAAGCACTGGGTGTCCCCTGCTCTGGCACACTGGGTCGGTGAGACGACTTCTCTCCCTGAACTTTCCCTGTGACAGGGCCCAGGCCTTCGCTACTCTGGGATCCACATCCCTGAAGTTAATAGTTAAATGATGCAACATGCAAAACAACTTTGAAATTTATACCATGTAGTCTCCCCCCTTGAAATGTATTCAGTTCTACTTCAAACATCATGTGCCTCAGCTGCTAAAATCTTTACTCCAGGCATTCAGAGGCTCCTAGCTTTACCATTGGTTCTGGTTATGTTGCTGCGTGATGAACCACTCCAAACACAGTTGTCTTTAAAAGTAAGAACAGCAGTTATTTCATTCATGAATGTGCAAGTTGGGCAGGGCTCCCTCAGGGACAGCTTGTTGTCTCTTCCCTGTTTGCAGTGGTTTGCAGGCTGGGGCTGGGATCATCCTATCACCAGGTCAGGGGCCTGGGCTGGGAAAAGTCAAACAATTCAGGTGAAGTCATTGGAAAGGAATTTTTTCCTTTGCATTGAAAGCAGAAATGGCGTTGGGCCCTTCCTAGGTGATATACCAAGGCAATATTATTATACACGCAAACCCTGTGGTCTGATTCCACAGGTGGCACCCTCAAACACTTCGTAAGGATTCTAGCATTGCCTTTTAAGCACAAACCTTTGCCAGATCACCAATATTTCAAGCGGTTCACAGGCCACCCTTGTGCAACCTGGGATAGTTCAACGTTTCCCCTGGTTACTCCACCCAGCACCAGAAATTGTAAGTGGGTCGAACAAAAATCTGGACTAACTTGGTCAGGTAACAAATCCAAGCCTTATAGCTGCCAAAGCCAGAGAGCAGGCCTCCTAAGTCATATATTTCACAACGTGTTTTGCTCTGACAAACTGACAGGGGCACGTGGAAGATGGAGGTGTGCCAGTATGCCAGTATGACCAATGACAAAGGTCATGAAACGCATGGTACCTGGGTAACTGCATGTTCTACTCTGACCTCATCTGTGAACAGCACTGGTCATTTTGTTTTATGTGGCAAGAAGATATATAAAGGGTTCCCACCTAAATGGTTGGGATGATGTGGACTTGGATATCTGGCACCTTCTGTCACCGTGTACTACACTTAAAATGCTAGCCAAATCACAAACTTGGGCTCCTTCATTCATAAGGTAGTGCCGCATAAACATACCAGACGAAATGGCATTGAACACCCATTTGTGTATCCCCACTCTAAGTGCTTTTCAATGTTGAGGACCTTATTCCCAAATTTTGGAATCTGTGATTTGGAAAAGGCAATCCTAAATCTTTCGATGGTAATAAAATCAGAGTTCAATACCGCTATACAAACACGAGAAGCATTCCAATCAGAAATTAATAGTTTAGCCTCTGTTGTACTCCAGAATAGTCGTTCCCTGGATACGCTGACTGCTCAGTGAGGAGGACGAGCTTATGCAGTCATTGGCAAAAAATTCTGCTTCTGTGTGAATCAGAAAGGACAAATAGTGTCTAATTTAAAAGATAAAGATACCTTTAAAAGATAAAGTTAACACTCTTTATCAGATAGATGAGGCACATCCATTTTATTGGACCCACCTATTCCCAGGATTGGGAAACTGGTTTAATGGGATATGGGAAAGAATGCTTAGGTTTTTTTTCCTGCTTACTTATTCTTGTTCCAATCTATGTCCCTCTTTCCCTTTGCCCAGATCTCTTATTACTCAGCTGCTGACCCAATTCTCTTCACCACCACCAACTCAGCTTTTAATATGTGAAACTTCCTGTGAAGTTTCAGACAGGGGAAACGAAGGGGATCGGAACATGCCACCTCAAGATCTGCCACTTTGGCATATTGATATTTTGAGCTGAAAGCAATTGAGAAGATGCTGGAAGAGCTCCTTAACCTTCCCCTTTCCTACCTAACAGCAGGACGTAAATACGCTATGAGAGAGGTGTCCTCCTTGTCCCAGGAAGAAGAGACTATTCTTATCACTGGAGACGGGAGTCAACACCAGGATGAATCTGTACAAACAAACCTACTAAAATAACCTTTATCTTTCATCAATTTCCTCCATATATTTCCTAGTTACTTTCTCACAATTTACTGACCTTAGCCCAAACCCATTTTTTCTTTGTCTTGTCACATCTTCACAACTTACCATTCTTTTTTAAAATGGTTAGCTAAGTTCTCAGGCCTATCCACTTTGGGTCTTCCTTGCTTACATATGAAGGTCTCTGTGTACACATAAGAATATTCACAGTAGAGGACGTGGGTACTTTAACACGGGAGCCTGCCAACCTCCTCATTTGCCT